TTTCTCAAACTTTTTTAGTCGAGCCCCCCTTTAAACCTTGAAAAGAATGTAAAAGATATAAAATAATAATTATTTAATAATTAATTAATAACTATTTTAATGTAAAATAAATGTAACTACTCCTTAATGTTAAATAACTCATTATTTATAGCTTATTTAAGTGGCAATTCGGTTGCATGGTGTTAAGATATGATCCTTATGCGCTCTTACCTGGTTAGGAACACTACCCAATTGCAGAGCACGTTACTTACGTTTGTTATCTCGTATGTACATGTGTGAGATGTACCGTTGAGAGATGATTTGAGTTTGAGTTTATTAAAGAAGAGTTTCAGACATTGAGAGCGTTTTGTTTACCTCACGCGAGCAAGAGAGAGAGAGTGCACGGCAGCAGTTTCGCTCGTGAGTACGGATGCGGAAGCACCGCTGCGGCTACCGTAGCCAAGGTATTGTGGGAAATGTAGTTTTTTTCTCGTTTTCGTTACGACCGCGCTATGGCAGAGATGGGCGAAGACGTCAGCGCGCAGCGCTAGGTGTACAAATATGGCCGCGGCTTCGGCCTAGCTCCAGAGCTCTTACACCTCTCATACAGCCGTGACCGGACTTCGCGGCGCTCTGCATTCGGTCGATAAGACACACCAACTTTTCCCCCTCAGTTTTGGGGAAGAAAAAGTGCGACTTATGAGCCGAAAAACGGTAATTGTAAGCTAAAATTATATTTAATCAATGTTGACTTTTTTATATAATTATTGGACTTCATCTGTTAACCTCCCTTGGTTCTTAAGTGAGGGAAATAGATGCATTTTTCCATTTCTGAATGACTGTTAATAACAATTTAATATACTTTATTTAATTTAATTTAATACATTGACTAAATGCTGCATTACACAGAGTAAAGCCTCACACTTGGGTTGTATTGCTTTCAACATGGCGCTTTTTCTGTCGTGAAAGTAGACAAAGTACAAAACAGCATAAACACTTTTTAAACACTTTCCATAAACCACAAAACTTGTAATTATTGAATAAATCATGATGTAAAGGTTTCCCATAATCCTACAAACAGGAAGACGGAAGATGACGCTTCTTAAATTATAACGTATTAGTGTATTTTTACAACAGATTCTATATCTTTTTTTTTTTTAAATAAAACAATGGTTAATTTAAGTGTCGAATTAATATTAATAAAAATTATACAATGCTCCTGTTTTATTTCAAACCCAAACAGCACTAAAATACAACCAACATAATGTTTGACTAGATCAAAATGGTACATTAGCATTTTAAAGTTATTTTTGCATATTAAAAGAATAAAATAGAATTAAAAACAACATCTCCAATATTTTAAGAAAACTAGACATTTTTAATATGAATAGATTACAAAAAAAACATGATTAAATCATTTTGTTATCTTGTGGGTTTTCAAATGTAAAATTCATTTTCTATATTATATATCAAAATGTATTTTTTATTTACAGCAATAAACCATATTTTTATATGTTTTTAACTGTTTCATATAAGGTTATGCTCTGTAATAGTAAAAACGGTTGTTCACTGTAATTCTACGGTTATCGTATGTTTTGTAGAATACAGCCGTTTTCTGTAGCATTTATACGGTATTTTACAGATGACAGTGTAGATATTTTATTCCTAACCTTCCGGTTCATGTTGCATTCTTTTAACATACAAAATACACCAGTGTTCAGTAGAATCAGACAAAGGATCGTCTTTTTATTTCTCGTTCGTTTTCTTGGTGAGCAAAAGCATTGGATGACAGCATTCACTGAGCAACTGCGCCAGGGTTCATCGTTACGGTACCAAACATGACAAGTTTGAAAAACACCTGTAAAGTGCTGGTAAGAGAGAAACACATGCAAGTCTAATGATGTACACTCTCTTAATTCTAGAAGAAGTAAAAGACCAAAATCTCTGATTAGCTGCTGGAGATTATGATCCATTACAACAATGGCCTCCATATCCAGGTCCCTGGCATCACCGAACAGAACAGTGAAAATGAAATGGAAAAAGAAACAAAAGAGACGGTGAATGGAGAGTCTCACAATAAGAGCAAAATGGAGAAATGAAAAAAGCAAATGAGAGAAGTTAATGAGTTGGAATGGTTGCCCTCAGACAAAGAGGAAGTGTAGGGTGCTATATGCAAATACAGGTAATAATACAGACAATGATTTATCTATACGTGCAGAGGCTCTGCCCTGAGATGGTCGTTCCTCATTGAACTACTGTCAGACACGTGGGTCATTGCAAATGAGCAATATTACGTGGAGTAATATTTCACTTCATGGAGAATGCTAACCTCAAGCATGTGTAATATTCACAGCTTATGCACGTTTGAATGTGATTTTATAGAAGAAACACACCAATCTGCCTCCTTTAATATGCTCACACGGAGCTTCTTGTCTAAGGTTATTCGACTTCAAAGCGATGAACAAATATCAAACACACGCAAACTCAAATCATTAGGGAAAAAAGGCAGTAAACGCTGATGTGAGGGATTTCAGCCCTGACTCCACAGCCCCTTAGGTGTCGTGCAGTAAATAAATCACACGTTTAATCCCACTTTTACAGGAGCATCTCAGATCTTTCAAAGTAAATGAACACTTGTCTCGCCAGAGGTTATAACCTTTCTGTGGGTGAATTCTCACAAGCTTGATGGAGCAGTTCTGCCTCAGGACACATGCGCATCTCAAACGCCTGCAGAGGGGAAAATGTGCTCCACAGTTCTGACGGCATCGCATGCTAGCATTTGACTTTCATCTTTAGTTTGCCACTTCTAGTCTTTTTCATAAAATTTGTCAAAAATATTACTTATGTGCTTGAAATTTTCATTTGTGGAAGTAATCAGATTCCACAAAAGTTTGGACTACTTTTTGTGTTGCGAGTGTAGAAAAAGCAAAGATTCTAAAAAGGGCAATTTTCAAATATTTAGTAATGATGCACTTCAAACAAGGAACTGCTTCATACATTTAATTCACTTCAGAAACCTACACTGCAAACCAAGGGTCATAGTATTCTACTCAATCATTATTTGGGCTGATGAACCCTGAACAAAAATGATCATTTTTAATTAAAATCTTTTGAGGCTAGCAGTTTTCACAAAAGCCTTGATTACTTGGAACTTGTGGAGTGTTGGGGGATGTCACATCCACCATTTCCAAAGTTGTACAAATTTTTATACCATTTTTAGCTTTCCCCCCATGTTTTGTCCAGCGCTTATCTATCGGTGAGCAGGTTAGGAGGCAGGATGGTGTTATTAACTGGAACGCCGCATTTGTAACAAAGAATGCAAGTAAAATTATTGCCAAGAGAAAATGATGATGATTGGTTGATAGCTCTAGAAATACCTGGGATTTAAGAGCATTAAACAAATAATTAAATGAAGCTAATAAAAAACAACAGCAAAAAATTATTCAAAGCAAGGAAACCATCCGCTGACAAACAAAAAATGATTGCTCCCACAGGAAATGATGTAGTACTTCCTGTTAGATGGGGACTCAAGAAGTTTGGCTGTGTTGAATGGGAATTTGTGGAGGATTTATGAACAATAAAAGTAATCTGGTTGTTATTTTTGATGGCATGAACAAGATGTAAACTGAAAAAATAAAACGTACAACAATTCTAACTAAAATAATCACAAATTATCCATAACACTGAAACAATAATAAAATGTAAACAAATGACACAGAGTCATGATGCTTGAGTTATTGAGTCAGCAGCTGAACCCCTGACTTTGTTTACGATGAAAGCCGTTTCTTCTGCTAAACTTTACCAAAGAACCTTTATGAAAAATCACTGTTATGTCCTGGACTCTACTGTGTTTAAATTTACCCTCCTAGATCTGTCTCCTTTTTCTCTGCTGCTTGTTGAATGCAAGATTTATGTTTGTCAATGTCTCCTGAATCCGGCTGATTCAAGCAATTGTGCCACGATTCCTGAATTTATTAACTTTCTATGTGAGTGCCTTTGTTAACATTTAGTCAACTCTTCCAGTCTGGACTTTTAGTTTTGTTCCTGGGTTTTTAATATTTTGTAAATAAATCCTTGTTCGCTCTGCGCCTTAGTTCTGTTACAACCCTGATGTGTCATAACGAAAACCTGGTAATCAAATGTCTCAAAATTGAATGATTATTCTTGTACCCACCCATAAGATAACAAAATAAAGGTAGAAGTCACACTATGGCTTTCATTTACTGATCCCCCAAAATAATGACTGACATTGAATTCTGTTTGCATGGCCCTTTAGCTTTTCACTGCCACTTATTCCACACTGAAAGCCATTATTATAGATGAAGCTGAGAGACCAAACAAATTCCCTGTTATCACCAATGTTAATATTAGTAGCAATAATGTGGAAATTATTACAGAAAGCATGGTCCCACCCCCTCCCCGTCCTTCTCTTCTGGGCAGCAACCTGAATAAATAAAGAGGAAATTAAATCTGTTTTCATCTGGGAACAGACAGAAACAGATAGAGGCTGGTATTTGTTAAACCAGAAAGAATGATGAATCAATGGAAAGTCTTTGGTCTCACACTCAACATTTCTCTCTAGTAGAAGAAGTCTTTTAGGTCCTTTGCCCGTCCATGGAAGAATTTATAATTGATGGCTGTAATAATTGTGGAAGTGGAGAAATGAGAGAGAAACACTTCTCGTCTGTTCTAAATGTGCATCACATAAATGCACACGTGTTGTGTGCCTAGAAACTATGTTTAATAAAAGACCACACATACAACCAATGAGAATGTTATTTCCTCATAATGTATAAAAACATTTATATAGCTGATTGTTAAAGTTTACCGTGTTTAAGTGAGTAATATTAATTATCCTCTGTCTTGAAGCCATACCTTCCCCATGTAAGTCAAAGCACTTATGCCAAGATTAAAAAAAAATCCTCATTGTTTTTACATTTACATTTAACATTCATGCATATGGCAAATGCTTTTATCCAAAGCGACTTACATTTTGAATGAATCAACACATTTTTTATTCTTGCTTTCCATGGGATTTAAACCCATGGCCTTTGTGTGGTTAGCGCAATGTTCTACCAACTAAGCCACAGGAAAACTATTGACATAAATGTTTTGATTATTGTTAATTATCTATACACTGGAAAATTTTCAATAGTCTTTTTGTTTTCAGTTTAAATTCACCTGTTTAATGTATCGAAATAAAATAGAGGACGTAATAGAGCAGTAATAGTTTCAACAAAAGCCTCATTTTAACTTCTAGTGACCAGAGTGCAGGAGGCACTATTTAAGCATGACACACACGTGCACATATTTGAAAAAAAATTTTGAACTTGATTCTGAACTAACTTTATTAAAACTTTGTTTATCGATTCAGTTTTTGATTTTGAAATGAAAATACATTCACATCTTTTGAGTGGTGACCTGTCCAGGGTGTACCCCCATCTCTTGCCCGAAGTGAACTGGAGAAAGGAACCAGCAGACCCCAGTGACCTCAAAGGGAATAAGCTGGTATGGAAAAAAAGAACTTCTTTTCATTCATTTTCCGAGCCGCTTATTCCCTTAATCGGGGTCACGGGGGTCTGCCGTTGCCTATCTCCAGCACACATTGGGTGAGAGGCGGGGGTACACCCTAGACAGGTGTTTGATAGAATTCAATTTATTTTGCTGAATCAAACAGCAAGATACATCTAAAAAATGCTGACTTTAAATGAAAACAATAAAATAAACAATCGTAGCAAGGTGGACATGATTTCTTCAGCAGCGAGAGGATTAGCGCAGGAAGAGAAAGATTTAAGGCAGGCAAAAGTTAGGGGCACCTAGGGGTTGCAAAAGCTGTCTTAGTTGGCGCAGAAGAGCAGTTGTGTTTCATATGTTGCCTTTTAGTTAATAACATCTGATAAATCTTTCACAGGGAGAGAGTTCTTCTTTCATCTTTATCATATTCTTCTGCAAAGCCAGCAAAAAAGCCAAAACCATCTCCTCAGCGCTGACCGTACTCTCTGTCTGTGAGAAACATGCTCACACCACCTCTAACTTTAGCACTCTCTGACTGGATACACAAAAGAGCAGTTCACTGATTGGATATTTGCTCGTGGACATGCTTTTTGTTCTCTGACATTTGCTTTTTCAAACGTAAAACATAAGAGTTATTCAAATGAGGAACAGAAAAACCATGGTTCACAAGGCCGTACCGTAACCGAGGAGGGTGTACCAAACGGTTCGGTATAAAACCGAGTATTGTGGCATCCCTAGTGAGGAATATAGCCTTTGTTGTTTTTAGAAACACTGAAGACATGACACCCTTTAATGCTCTGAAGTCTGTTCTCTGTCTCATTGAAGGAGCTTTTATAAACATATTATTTGCTCATAAATGTCATGTTAACAACTCTGAAATAATCAATTTACCTTTTCTCCATTTTTCCCTCTCAGTCTTCTCTGTGTGTTTCCCTTCTCCACCTGGTTCCTGGTTTTCCCTGATTAGTTCTCCCAGGTATTCTCTGTCAGGGCATTAAGTGTTCACTACTTAAGTTCCTTCCTGTGCTTTCTTTGTTGCATACAAGTCTGAACGCCATCATCTCTATTTTCAGGTCTTTTTATGTCAGTATGCGGAACATTGCAGCTCTTCAGTTCAATATTTATTGTTAATCTTTTCAGTAGGTAGAGTTTCTTGTCAGCTTGTTTTTGGCTTCTGCCTTAGTCAGTTTGGGAACAATGAACATTAAATACAATCTATGTTCTAGCTGGAGAGTCAAAATAACCTCAAAACATAAGCATTGAGAATATCTACTCATGAATATAATTACCTATAAAAATGTCAGCATAAAGAGCAGTGAAAGGGAGCTTATGACAAACAGTAACTATAATGAATTTAATGAATCTGTAATATATAAGGCCATCAGAATTATGAAAGACCAACGATTTGTTTGAGTAATAAACAATAATCAAAATCCAGTAGCCTCATGAATTATTAGTCATTTCCAGTGCTTAATTTGTAAATTTGAAGTTACTAGAACACAACAGAACTGGGGTGACGGACAGGGGGGGCTGGCCCAAAACAGTTGCTGGAACACAAACAGAACGCATTGGTTCAGTGTCTAACATGCCTACTTTTAAGCAGCAGGACTTACATACATCATTTACAACATAATTTAAGACATATACACACAAAAAACCTTTAGATTACTTTCAACACAATTTAGCTGGCTTGCTTTGGAGCTACATGACTTGAGTCTTCGTTTCTTTTAAAAAACGAAAGCAAACTTGATTGTCTTTTAGACATGTTAGCACGAAGGAGTCAGGACACTTTTTGTTTTGGCCAAATGCCGCCTAAAAATAAGTTACGTACAGGACGTAAATTACCCAGCAGCAGCCTTTTCAGACTTGCTAGTAGTGCATTTTATTTATTATTATTATTTATTTTTACATTATACAATGCACAATAAAGAAAACACACTAACACAATAATTATTAATTATTTTATTTTATAATATTTTTATCTAATCGCTAATTTCCACATAATACGGGCCGGCCTGCCGACTGCAGGGGACAGCACCAGCCTACGACGAAGGCAGCCTGGCACACCATAGGCGAGTGCTCTGTATATTCTTGAGTCGGGGGAATGCATTGTAGTACAGTAGAGTGAAAAAGGTGGGCAGGAATTGGGCAGATAAAGACAAATGGGGTCAGATAATTACCGGATCCCAGAATAAAATTTTCCGGATCCTTGGAAGCCAGAAATTGAGAGAAAACGGATTGCGTTCCGGCAAACGGCGGAACAAATTAAGCACTGGTCATTTCAATGTAATGTTTAAATAACAAAAACAACATATAATCTGGACAATTCCAGCACATTTTAGCACTGGTCATAAAAGCATTTCCCTAAAGGAAACATGACCAAAAGTGATTTCGTTATATACTATGTGATAATTTTTTCATAGATTTTTTTTTCAATGTCTTGTTTCAGTTGTATACAGTAATGGCTTTTGTTTCTTACCTCCACCCACTTTCTCCACCTCCAAAGGTTCCGAATCCAAGCAAGCATTTAGAAGGACTTCTCTAACCTCATTTATCTGCTGATAAAGTGCTTCGGACGCTAGACTGCCAGATCGTTCCAAGTCAAACTGACCTTCTCTCTGCTGCCAATAAAATCTCACAAATATGATGACTTGCCCTTTACTTAAGGTTTATAAAATTATTAAAGGGAAAAATAACAAAGAGGATCAACTCACTCAGCAGACTCCCTAGAAAGGATGAGGTAAACAAACTTGTTGACCTTTTGAGTTGACAGTATGAAGGAAAAACTAAACATTATCAAAAAACCGCTCATACGATCAAATGAAAGGTACAATTGAGAAGTTATAAAGCTTTTTGTCATCAACCACTGAGCAGCATAAGTAATTATTTGAGTTTTGATGGGAAGTATTTTGTAAAATGTTTAATACTGTTGCCTCTTTCACTCGGTTCTGTACATTTCATGCTTCCTCTGGGCACACCCAGGTTACAAGTAATCCACCTATTAGAAGTGAATGGGGACTTTCAAATCCGAGGTATATGGACTAAAAAACACTAAATACCACAAATAAATAAGTGCAGAATTTCACTGCTTTCATGGTCATTACAACTGAAGTAACACGTATATAAACTATGTATTCAGCATTTATTGTATGCAACAGATATAAACCTTAAATCATTTTAAAAGTATTTAGCTTATGAAACAGTATTGAACTCAAAAAGGATCATGTCACTCTATTTGACAAAATTATTTGAAATTTGGTTCCTTTCTAATGTTAAATGGGAGAATTGAAGTTTATTATAATAAAAAGGGGACAATTGGCCCCTCAGAATGGGACCAACACACTACGAGTACATTTATGTAGGTTTACCGCAGAACCTGCATTCTGTTTCCACATTTAATTATTTTTTTTTTAAAGATTTATTTTTGCCCTTTTTTTAGTTTCTATTTTGAATGGATAGGACAGAAGGTAGACAGGAAGAGAGTTGGATAGAGAGAGGGAGAAGGATTGGAAATGACGGGATCAGAATTCGAACCCGCGTCCCACTCTGCAACCGTGAGTACACGTCCGGTGCACCTTCCACTATACCATGGGGGCTGGACCCGCATGTTCTTTCTGATGGGAAATTACCAAGTGCAACATCAACATTATAAAATCAGAAAAATTGTATCACATTCATTTTTATACAGGGAGCTGACTAAAGACACAAAAATAATGCGTAATTAAACTATAAATAATGAGAGCGTTAATACAAACTGTACAACTTCAAAACATCATACAAGTGTCAACTGCCTTACACTGATGGTGTAGAGTATCTTGGAGTATCTTCTCATTTATCCAATTGGTTCAAAATATTGTGATACAAAAATGATACAGCTAATGTAATTTGTGGGGGTGCTGGGATGTCATCTAGGGGCTACAATACACAACATTTTACAGAGGCGTAACTTCAAGTTAGGAGGCGTAACTACAAGTGGTCCGACTCAGCCAGAGTCAAGAAAAGAAACCACGTGTGAATTTGCAAAGAGGTGTTGTGGTCAAGATGGCAGCTCATGTAATCCTGACCCTAACCGTAACCCTAAAACAGAACCACGTGAGAAAAGCAAAGAGGATTTTCATAGGAGTCTTTCACATCTCACGTTTTGACTGCTTCAAATTACACCTTTGTTCTGCCCCTATCTTACGGTCCACAGATAGATACTAATGCTCTGAGATCACAAACTGCTGCCCTCTAGGGCGTGGATGATATTACACACTTTAATACAAATCAAACTGGACACAGTACAGGACCAAGCAGACGGGATACACCCCACCCACTGAACTTGCAGACCCACAACATTGAATTGTGATATCACTTCCATGCTAAAGAGGGTCATGGGGCGGTCACACTACTCCTGAACAATGCAGAATTTCTCTAAATGTGATTTTATGCCCGCCCACAAAACAGCGTCATTAAAAAATAAACAATTTAATATTGACATCTTAAAAATGTACATCTGCTTCATAGTGAGTAATTGAAAAGCTCACGGACCTGACCTTGCCAAAGTGGTGGCTCAAGATGCATCACATGACCCAGCTGAAGT